TAGGCAGCCGACGGTGTTGCTCTCGTCACCAGCGGTCCGGAAGGAAACTTGGACGCCAGATGTCGCGCTGTCGGTGTGCGTTCACTGCCGTAATCTTGTCTTCCATGATGAACTGGTGGATCGTGAGTCGCCGAGCAGATTACTTGCTCGAATCTTTGAACGCGTGTTGAGCCGGCCAAGTCAAGGTGCTTCTCTCCAAGTGGTGTTGCGAGAATTGGCAGCCACAGCAGAATCTGCATATACAGCAAGAAAGGATTAGCCATCCTGCTTGACGCGGTGCCACCGAGCCCACTGAAGTAGGTGTCGTGAAGCTGCCGGTATTTGTAGGCAGCCGACGGTGTTGCTCTCGTCACCAGCGGTCCGGAAGGAAACTTGGACGCCAGATGTCGCGCTGTCGGTGTGCGTTCACTGCCGTAATCTTGTCTTCCATGATGAACTGGTGGATCGTGAGTCGCCGAGCAGATTACTTGCTCGAATCTTTGAACGCGTGTTGAGCCGGCCAAGTCAAGGTGCTTCTCTCCAAGTGGTGTTGCGAGAATTGGCAGCCACAGCAGAATCTGCATATACAGCAAGAAAGGATTAGCCATCCTGCTTGACGCGGTGCCACCGAGCCCACTGAAGTAGGTGTCGTGAAGCTGCCGGTATTTGTAGGCAGCCGACGGTGTTGCTCTCGTCACCAGCGGTCCGGAAGGAAACTTGGACGCCAGATGTCGCGCTGTCGGTGTGCGTTCACTGCCGTAATCTTGTCTTCCATGATGAACTGGTGGATCGTGAGTCGCCGAGCAGATTACTTGCTCGAATCTTTGAACGCGTGTTGAGCCGGCCAAGTCAAGGTGCTTCTCTCCAAGTGGTGTTGCGAGAATTGGCAGCCACAGCAGAATCTGCATATACAGCAAGAAAGGATTAGCCATCCTGCTTGACGCGGTGCCACCGAGCCCACTGAAGTAGGTGTCGTGAAGCTGCCGGTATTTGTAGGCAGCCGACGGTGTTGCTCTCGTCACCAGCGGTCCGGAAGGAAACTTGGACGCCAGATGTCGCGCTGTCGGTGTGCGTTCACTGCCGTAATCTTGTCTTCCATGATGAACTGGTGGATCGTGAGTCGCCGAGCAGATTACTTGCTCGAATCTTTGAACGCGTGTTGAGCCGGCCAAGTCAAGGTGCTTCTCTCCAAGTGGTGTTGCGAGAATTGGCAGCCACAGCAGAATCTGCATATACAGCAAGAAAGGATTAGCCATCCTGCTTGACGCGGTGCCACCGAGCCCACTGAAGTAGGTGTCGTGAAGCTGCCGGTATTTGTAGGCAGCCGACGGTGTTGCTCTCGTCACCAGCGGTCCGGAAGGAAACTTGGACGCCAGATGTCGCGCTGTCGGTGTGCGTTCACTGCCGTAATCTTGTCTTCCATGATGAACTGGTGGATCGTGAGTCGCCGAGCAGATTACTTGCTCGAATCTTTGAACGCGTGTTGAGCCGGCCAAGTCAAGGTGCTTCTCTCCAAGTGGTGTTGCGAGAATTGGCAGCCACAGCAGAATCTGCATATACAGCAAGAAAGGATTAGCCATCCTGCTTGACGCGGTGCCACCGAGCCCACTGAAGTAGGTGTCGTGAAGCTGCCGGTATTTGTAGGCAGCCGACGGTGTTGCTCTCGTCACCAGCGGTCCGGAAGGAAACTTGGACGCCAGATGTCGCGCTGTCGGTGTGCGTTCACTGCCGTAATCTTGTCTTCCATGATGAACTGGTGGATCGTGAGTCGCCGAGCAGATTACTTGCTCGAATCTTTGAACGCGTGTTGAGCCGGCCAAGTCAAGGTGCTTCTCTCCAAGTGGTGTTGCGAGGGTTGGCCGCCACAGCAGAATCTGCATATACAGCAAGAAAGGATTAGCCATCCTGCCTTGACGCGGTGCCACCGAGCCCACTGAAGTAGGTGTCGTGAAGCTGCCGGTATTTGTAGGCAGCCGACGGTGTTGCTCTCGTCACCAGCGGTCCGGAAGGAAACTTGGACGCCAGATGTCGCGCTGTCGGTGTGCGTTCACTGCCGTAATCTTGTCTTCCATGATGAACTGGTGGATCGTGAGTCGCCGAGCAGATTACTTGCTCGAATCTTTGAACGCGTGTTGAGCCGGCCAAGTCAAGGTGCTTCTCTCCAAGTGGTGTTGCGAGGGTTGGCCGCCACAGCAGAATCTGCATATACAGCAAGAAAGGATTAGCCATCCTGCCTTGACGCGGTGCCACCGAGCCCACTCATGGCCTCGGTGACTCACGATCCATCAGTTCATCATGGAAGACAAGATTATGCCGTTCTTCCGAGATCGAGGCGTTCGTGCCAGTGGACAAACAGGCCCTTTTTTACGGAATAATATTTTTAAAATATTTTAGCCATGTAGCATTCTGGCTCTTAATTTATTCGTGGCAGTCGCCTAAAGTCCAGCTTCTGCGCTGTTAAAGGCCAGAGAATTGAAATAAATTATTTCCTCGATATCAATTCGTTTAAATTCCTCCACCAAACTCTTGGTGCGTGTACTTCACCATCGAATCACTGGCAACCAAATCTCGAGGCACGTCAGAGATGCGACAGTGTTAGTCCACAAAGGTCCAAATCATTGTACGCATCCATGTTGAAACTTTCTACAGAAACACTACAAACGTGTAGCCTACAAGTAGAGCTGTAACCAAGGAAACATATATCCAGAAAAGGCTCTAAGTAAGTCCAGAAACTGTTCAAAATATCTTGGGTACAACAGTCCGTCGAGCAAATTACTTAATTATACGGAGAAGAAAAAAACAGAAGTAAATTTCTGCGAGGATGTAGCAGAGATGAAAGTGTGGCTAGATATACTTCAGAGGTGACGTAGGCGCGTGGATGGAGCCGTTTCTCATCCCAACTCGGCGACGTCCACGCGTTTGGATGAAGCCCCTGTCATCTTTATTGTGAACATTCGCACAACAAGTTCTGCGCTCGTGGCCTTTTCTGATAACTAAATTTCAATTCAGTTAAATTTCTTTTGTTTTATTAGTAGGAAGGCCTATACATGTTACTTAAAGACCGAATGAACCCATAGCCAGTTGGCAATATTCCGTCCATTATAATGAGCAATCTGAGGCGTAGAGTGAGCAACACAGGTTAATATGGAATTAGACGGAAATAATGCAAAACAAAAAATCTAATCAGCACTTACATAGTCATAGTAGACATACTAATTTGACTTAACCAAGAGGATGTTCATGAGGGTTGGTGATGATTGAAGAAAGCAAAAGATACTGCTTTAGTACTTGGCTGAATCTATATGCGAACTTTGAAGGTCGTTAGGTAGGGAGTTCCAGATTTTCGTAGCACAGAATCGGATTAGTTTCTCCCCGTATCTATCATTACATTCAGCCAGAATAAAATGCTCAGATAATTTTTCTCCAGTTGAACCCTAGTGAAAAAAAAAAAAAAATTTCTGTAAAGGTATACCTCATTCTCAGATTGAAACTATTAATCGCCAAGCAGGCTCATTTGCCATTATTTCACCAGATGAAAAGTGCGATCGTCAAGTTAGATACTCCTTCAACATTACAATCGAGAGCCGATGTGACCTATCCAGTTAAATTAAATACGTTAAAGCGTAGCTAGCCTTACTCGGGAGACGACACAAACAAATAGTAACGGGTAAAAGAGTCAAGACTTGGTTGTTTTTTTTGCCATATGTGTGACCTCCATCAGTTCGATTGGGCCATAACATTCCGTTATATTAATGTCCGTCATTTTAACCGAAGAAAAAGGGTAATAGCGTTAGTACTAATTAAGTGCATAAAAAGCAGAAATTATGGTTATACACTATAACAGCCCTTGCTCCATTTTTTTTTTTTTTTTTTGGGGGGGGGGGGGGGTCGTCCTTGTAGCTCGATGCGTGTGAGCCAATGAAACTAACCCCCGAATTCATAGATGTGACTTGCTCTGAAGTCGAGCTTCAACTTGCTCAAGTCCGTCTTTCGACGAGCAAGCGCGCTTCATAAACGCACCTTAACTTGAACCGATCTTGAACGGAGCTTGAAGCGAACTTGAAGTGCCCAAATTTCAAGACTGGGTTGGACCTATCCTGAACGCGACTTCGTGGTCGTTTCAACATGGCGGCTTGGCGAAGCGACGTCGCCGAGAGGATCTCCGCCTTCGAATTCGCAACTCGCGCGTGCGATATCGTCTCCGGGGACGCGTTCCCTTTGCCACGAGTCCCGCGACCATCAATTCGGGATAGGGAGAACCCAATGGAGCGCTACAACGACGGGCAGTCCCTGGCGCGGTATCGCTTTACGAAGGGAACCGTGCGAGAGCTGCTCGGGATGCTGCCGCTACAAACGAGCACCGACTGCAGGGGCCTTCCGCTGACCCCCATGCTGCAACTGCTGGTCACGCTGCGGTTTTATGGTGCCGGGACCTTCCAGGTTGTGACTGGGGACCTCGTGAACGTGTCCCAACCGACAGTGTGCCGCGCGGTCGGAGTAGTTACGCAGCTGATCGCGAGGTACCTGTTCCGGGACCTCGTTCACTTTCCCAGCGCCGCCAAGTTCAACACGGTGATGCTCGATTTCTTCGCACTTGCGAAATTCCCCGGCGTCACCGGGTGCATCGACTGCACCCACGTGCGGATCACGAGCCCCGGCGGCGACGACGCGGAGGTGTTCCGCAACCGCAAGGGAGTTTTCTCAATCAACGTCCAGGTAACGAGTGCAGAGTTCTCGGTTTACCGAATTTAGAGTTTAAAGAGCAACGCTTGCGCGATCGCGAGATGTTATTCATTGGAGTATGCGCTCATGTTCGACTGCATGAAATTTGGAAATTCTGCCCCAGCATTCTAGTCAAAGCCCTTTCGTCTTTGCTTCGCTATATGCAGTGGTTGAACTGCTGCGCCAAACTGAGCCAGAATGAATAACCTGCTACATGTTGCTCTAATGCGTCTGGCACATGACATGGTTGGCGATGCCACTGAAAATTAAGAAAGTACAGTTTTTTCCCCCTTGATGCTATGTGCAAAAGTAGGGCTGCACGAATTCTATGTGCAAAAAGTAGGCCTGCACGAATATTCTAATTTTCTAATAGTAGTTTCAAATAATACGTTATTTGATATTCGCTTCCAAATGAACTGCAATATTCATACTTTTCGAAGCTTGCAATGTTCATATTGACATTGTGAGAACACATCACTTGAGCAGTTTTTGTAATGAAAATATTTGTCGAGTATTACGACAGCTTCATTCGATGGGACCATTGCCACTAACTTTTCTTACTCATGTCTCCATGTTTCATTTCAACGCAATCTACTTGCAGGCTGTCACCGCCCCCAGCTGCAATTTTACGATGTGGTTGTGAGCTGGCCCAGGTCGGTGCACGACAGCCGGATTTTTGATAACTCCCGTGTGCGGGTGCTGTACGAGGAACGCCGGGTGCCAGGGGTGCTGCTTGGGGACATGGGCTACGCCTGCTTCTTCTTCCTGATGACCCCCCTGGCAGATCCCGGTCCAGCCAACACACCACGAGGCAGGCAAGTAAATCCTACAAGTGCCTGAGCAAATGTAGGGCTATGTGTGGAGACAAGGAAAACATTATATACAAACGTGGAACAGTAGTAAGACTACTGAACTTGTGCGCTAGTTGCGATGGTTAAATAATGTACGAACAAAATAAGTAAGATACTGGGTGTGGCAACATTAGCCCCGAAAATATCTGCCCTTATTGAGGATTATAGTCACTGACACGGTGAGAACTGCAGCGAGTCTTTCTGCCCTGCCTCCAGAGCACGCTCAATGCCTTCTGGCATGCTTTGGCTGCACATGCATGCACGAAGTGCAAAAGACGCCAATGTGTTACCGAATGTATGATGCTGATGCTGGAGGCGGGACAAGTGAAGCTTCTCCTGCTTGTCATTGTCGGTGGCTAGTGCGTTGTGCTGAAGCATTTTGAAATCGAGCTAATCGAGAGAAAGATATGAAAGGGATCTACAGGCAATATTATAATTTAATTAGCCACTCATAATATTCCCTCACACGATCAGGTACCAGAAGGCCCACATCAAAACGAGAAACTCTGTCGAAAGGGCCTTTGGCATCTGGAAGCGGCGCTTCCCCTGCCTCGACATGAGGCTGCAACACAAGCCACGTCGGGCCGTGCAGATCATCACAGCCTGCGCTGCACTCCACAACCTGGCCTGCCTGAGGAAGGACCCACAGCCTCCACCTCCCCCAGCTCCGCCAGTTGTGCCTAGGGCACGCATACCCAGGAGGAGGGCCACACGGCCAGTCCACCTGCCACCCGCCGTGGACACCGTGGAGAACTCCCTCACGGGCATACAGAAACGGGAGCAAATCATCGAAAGAAGCTTCAAGTAGAAACTTCTTTCGAAGTGGAAGCTCCCTTCTGCAATGACTGATCGAGCTTTGCCTTAAAGGGGCGGTGGAACAATATTCAGTTATAATGTTTTTCACTTTACACAAGCTTACTGGCACTAGAGGAACCCTAGTATACTTGAATGCAATGGCGCTGACCAAGAAACATTTTTTGTTGCAGTGTAATTTCAGACAAAAGCAAGCATTTTCTTTCAATCACTCCTTCACAAAAGCTCAGGGGTCGCATTTTCGGTGTAGTCCCTCCTCAGAGTGACAATATTTGAATGCGGCTCACAGATTGGACCCTATAGTATTGCGTGAGCACTCGATTTGGGCATGTGATAACAGCTTGGCAATCATTCAGGTAGTGGCTCGTGTCCAAGCGCTGCAACGACGACAATAGCCAAACCAACAATGTTTGCGATTCGGCACGTGTCCTGTACTATGATTAACATTGGTGCCATATAATCGTCTCCAAATCACTTGGCCACTTTTTCTGGCTGCAAGTTAAAGGGGGAAACTCTGCCATTTATTTCATTTTTTTCTTCGGCGTTTTTTTATTGCACGGGTGAAACACAAGCATGTTTCATAGCTCATAAACTTTGGGGATTTGTTTTACGCAGTATCTGCACGAAGTACGAAAAATTGTTCCATCGCCCCTTTAAAGCTTTTGTCGTGAAAGTGGCTTTTTTTCATTGTACTGGAGTAAATAGCACGGCGTCCAATGAAACTGTCCTATAAGCATCGTCTGGAGGTATGTTCATATGTTAATAAGTTTTTTTTGTATTTTGCAAATGCCTTTACTGTTTTTTTTATTCCTGTTTATTCACCAATAAAAATGTGAAAATATTGCCAAACCCTTTGCTGTAGTGACTGTGCAGTGGCTTTTTACTAGTCCAAATGATAATAAATGAAAGGCAGGAGCCATTATGTAATTACGCATTTTCTCAAAGCATGCCTAATGTGAAACAAGCTGAAATCGCATCCTATCCTTTTTTGGATATAGCCCCAGCTTTCAACCTCTGTGAAATAAATTAGATCCCTTCAAAAGTCGAGGCGTTGGCACTGCTTTTTATTTTTCAGCTCCCTGCTGAAGCTCCCTGAGCTTCCACTCCGCAATTTTTAAGTTCGTCTGCTCCACCTGGAGCCGCACGCGGTGTTCTGCCACCTTCATTTGGTGCTCTGCCACCTTCATCTGCTGCTCCTCCTCAAGGAGCTTGATTCGGATGGCAGACTCTGCCCTCAGCAGAGAACTTCGTACATCTTTCTGTGCTGAGAGAGCCTGCTCTAGGAGCACCATTCAACCTCTGGCCGGCCTGCCTTCATCCTGAGTCGCCGCCACCCTGTCGCTGTTGCAGCTTGAAGCAGCTGCAGGAGCAGGTACGGTCTGCTCCTGTAGCTGCTGTGGCACTGGCACTTGCCTCCGGTTCTGCGACGTCCATAGAAGGGCTGCCAGGTTGATAGTAGTCCCCTGTCACAAGATGGGTAAACCCATATCTGGATTACAAGCCGTTAGCACAAAGTACAATGTTTATAAATTGCACGGCATGAAATGCACTGCAGGTCACGTTGCCCCTGGTTGTACCGTTACGACTGCTGCACTCGGGCGACACCTAGATTTTCTCAGGCCTCTCGAAGATTGTCAGAGAAGCTAGCTGTAGTCGCATTTCGCATTCCTGGAGACTTATCTTTTTTGCTTTGCAGATTTCGAAAACGAAATCCCCTCTAATTGAGATAGCGGCCCCAGAATCCAAAAGTGCGGCAAAAGGAAAACCGAGCAAAGTGATCGTCATGCACGGTTCAATGATGAAAGGCTCGGGCTGGATTCGATATTCCGATGGAATCTGTGCTGCGGCCTCACTGCCGCAGCACCGGGACTGTAACGGCTTTCAGCCAGTGGCTGTCTGGTTTCAGCATCGGCGGCCGTGGTAGTTTCCCTGGTTGTTCTGGTTCCAGCCCCTTTCCCGCCGTCTCGTGCCACCTCTTGTTTGTAGTGTCCAGAAGTCTTGGACACTGGTTTCGTTGGTGGCCGGGCTGCTCGCACTCGTAGCAGCAGTCCGACAACAGTTGCCTGCTTAGGTCACCCGCACCGAGGTGCCCGCCTCCAGTGATCGGGTAAAGAACCACTATGGGAGGGCCTCTACCAGGCTTGCGATTAGCTGTTAAGGGGAGGGCTTGTTCCGTTGTGGCGGGGGTCAATGCTGCTTTGCTGCGGGATTTCGACCGCAGCGTGCCAGTTTTCCCCAGCACTTGCAGGAGCACACTGATAAAGATGGTTCGCTTGGGTGGTGACCTCCGTTGGGCCCCAACTTGCGATAGGGCACGGCCAACGACCTCCCACTTGTCGTGGCGACCCCCGCCCGAGATCCTCACAGGCACTGCTGTGACCTCCAGGGACCTCTTGATGAGAGTTAGTCGAACATCCGCTTATCTTGCGTGGGCGAACGCCATACATGTCACGCCAACTCTCCCGGTTGATGTGGTGAGGAAGAGAGGTCTCATTCGAGCAGTCCACATGCGTGGAGGCCTTGGGGCATGCTGGTTTGAGTGCGTACTTCGCTGGTGGCGGCGGCACGTAGTTCCGCTCAGCATGAAGAGCTTCCTCGATGAGGCAGGCACCCCGGGCTAGCTCTTCAAGGGTCTCAAAGGTATGGTTGATGAGGTAGACGTGGTATCTTGGGTGGCACTGTCTTCTGACCCGAGCTACTCTGTCCGACTCCGGTGTATTCGGGTCCGCCCTCTTGAAGAGCTCTTGCATGACCTGAATGTACCGGTCCTGACTTTCGTCCAAGTGCTGCGGCCTTGCCTCGAGCTCTGCGTTGCGTAGCCCACAGGCAGGAACTCTTCTTGAAGCCTTGTCTGGAAGTCCGCCAGGCTGGTGAAGAGGGCCTGCAACCCCAACCAGCTTCTAGCACTGGCTTGCAACGCCAGCGGGACAATGCCGTCCATGATGAAGGCTTTCAAGGCACCGGAGGCAAGGTGGTACGTCTGCAACTCCCCCAGGAAGTCTGCCACGGACTTAACGTCGTCGCACCCCACGTAGACTGGTACAGTCAAGTGTGGTCGGGACTTTTGCGGCGGGGTCTCCTGCTGGCCAGGCGTGAGGGCCATGCGCTGCATCACGAAGTTGCATATCACCGTGACCTTTTGAGCAGGTTCATTTGTGCCGCAGCGGCCACTGCTGCTTCCTGCTCCCGTGTGAGCATGGCTGCAAGCACAAAAAAAGAAACGCCCCCCAGAAACCAACACAAGAGTGCGAAACTATTGCCGCAGTCACGAAACGAACGGTCAAAAACAAACCAATACAACAAACGCGGACGTGACCGAAGCACGGGACGGTAGGAAACACGGGGAGTGGAAAAAGGCTTACCAAAAAAAGAAACCAAGCCCCGTGAAATTCCTGCGAGTGAGTAGCATACCACGCTTGGGCGCCATTGTGGCCGGTTAATTTGTGCAACATTACCAGAAAGCTATAGAATAAATTCTGTGTTACCAATCCCTTGTGAGGTGCACACTGTGATGGGGGGGAACCAAGGATGATAAAAACGACATACATGAAAACTGCGAGTTGGACTGAGCAACAAACGAGAAAGAGGACGCAGTGAACGTGGTGAAGGTGTGAGTAACTAGAAGACGAAGACAGCAAGGCCAAAGCAAGAGATGGATATAATGAAAAAGGAAGACGTGATGAGAGGAAGATGACACAGGCTTGTGATACATGAAAAAAGGGCGGGCACGACACGGAACCCGGCTCGACAGCAGTGGTCCTGGCAGCCAAGGAAGAGCCCGGACAAACAAACCCAGGCCCGTGGGGCTGTTAACCAAGCTTGCTGGGAAACATCCGCTTGTGCCAAGCGAGTCTGCCAACTCCATGCCAATGCCGACGTGCAACACCGTGCCGTAAGCGGATTTGCCGAACTGAACTTTGTTTGTATATCTACAGCGCTTTATTTCTTACTTTTTTTTCTTACGACTGTAAATATCTTCCGTCTTATCTTCATCGTTCTGAAATTCTGAGTCCCTTTATTTATATTTTTTCATCACACGCAACCTACAAGTGGCCTAAAGTGCAGATCGATGTGTCTCAACACTACCTGCATACTCGTACACTGGGTCGCAGTCGACCATGCCCTCCAGCAGCCGCACCACTGGCTCGTTCTGGACAGGGGGCAGGTAGGCCGCTCCGTCGGAGTCGTTATCGTTGTCAAGGCGGGTGGCCATCTGCCTCGCTACTGCCCCCACAAGCACAGAAATTGCGCTCATGGGTGTGGGGGGCGGCCCCCCTCCTAAGGAACAATCGTGTATGTCAAGTCACTTGATTAAAGCAGTCGAGATATAGGCACATACTGAATATTCTAAAGAAACACTCCTGTACATAGACGAGGCTGGGACGTTTTAGCACGATATTTTTGTGACACGGGTAAAGATAGAAAGGTAGGTTGATCAATAAGGCAATAACGCCGTAAGAGTAAACTGCTACAATGCCATATTATGCCATTTCGCATGCAAAACAACTATTGCCCCGCTCCCTACGGAAGATATGTCGACATCTGCTGTGTGCCTCAGTACAACGGAGCTAAAGTGGATCTAAACGGGAGCGGGGTAATCCACGGCACTCGGAACATTACGCATATCACGATCTTTCTATATACTGAACTGAAGGAAATGCGGAATGACACACGCTGACAAAAAGGAAACGCGAAAATTTTTCCCAATATGATCTTTCGCCAATCGCAAATGCTAGAGTAGATCGATCACTCCGAGTAACATGGACGAGCAGGGACAGAGGACAGAACACTCACCTGTCTTGTGGGTCTTGCGCTTCTCGCCCGGGCGCTCGTTCTTCCACTTTTGTTTGAGGTTCCCCCAACACTTTTTGAGCTGATTAGAGTCCCGTGGACTAACACCCGGTAAGCAGTTATACTCATTGCAGAGTTTCTCCCAGGTCTCGTTTTTGAGGTTCGAAGATACGGAGTCTGTCTTTTTGCATTCAATGATCGTTTTATGCTTGCCGACAAGCCCCGATAGAATAGATATTTCATCAGCGGTGAAGCGCGGCGATTGTTTTTTTTTTTTAGTGGCCATTCCACTGCTGCTCAAGGGTTGGGGGAATCTCAAAAGTT